TCGGACTCTCGTCTTTAAGACCCCCCCCCCACTTTCAGAAAAGCTTTCAAGGTGTGAGACATGTTCAAGACAGGTAGGTCGGCAGTAGCCAGATTTGGGGCTCATGCAAATCTAAGAGGACATGTTCAAGAGGGTCCCCCAAAGCATCTAATCTGGGAGGACGGGGTTTGATTCCCCACTCCTCCGCCACATGCAGCCGCTAGTGTGACCTTGGGTCGGTCACAAGATCTTTCAGAGCTGTTCTCTCAGGAGCAGTCCTCGAAAGCGCTCTCTCAGCCCCACCTACCTCACAAGCAGTGTTCCCTCTAAACTGAGTTAGTGTGAGCTAGCTCACAGTTTTTTTAGCCTCCGGCTCTCACATTTTTGTCCCGGCTCAGGAAGGAGGGCGCCAGAGCAAACTAATATATGCAGCAGCCCAATTGCTCGCTCACAACTTTAATGCCGGCAGCTCACAAAGTAGAATTTTTGCTCACAAGACTACACAGCATAGAAGGAGCATTGCTCACAGGGTGTCTGTTGTGGGGAGGGGAAAGGGGATTGGAAACTGCTCTGAGACTCCGAGTGAAGGGCATAAATCCAGTCTTCTCCTCCTCTTCCGCCTTCTTCGAAACGGATTACTAAGAACACCATGGCAGCGGTTTCCATAGGGGGACAGGCTTGTGTGGTTTTCCCATTGGTAGGAGGCAGCTGCCAATACAGCACAGTGGCAAAGGGCTGGGTTCTTTAGCCATCACCACGCCCCAGTCCCCAGGTGGTAGCCTACCTTTCCTCCTCCACTGGGTCTTTTTCAACTTTTTTTTTTTTAAATCTGATCTTGAATGTCATTAGGTAAAGGTAAAGGTAAAGGTTCCCTTGCTCGAAAGCCAGTCGAATCCGACTCAATTGTTGCGGTGCTCATCTCCGTTTCAAAGCCGAAGAGCCAGCGCTGTCCGAAGACGTTTCCGTGGTCATGTGGCCGGCATGACTCAACACCAAGGTGCACAGAACGCTGTTACCTTCCCACCGAAGTGGTACCTATTTATCTACTTGCAATTTCTTGCTTTCGAACTGCTATGTTGGCAGGAGCTGGAACTAGAGATGGGAGCTCACCCTGTCTTGCGGCACCCGGGTCTTGAACTGCTGAACTACTGACCTTCCACAGCCTGCAGTTCAGCGTCTTAACCACTTGAGCCACCGCAGCTCCATTGAATGTCATTACATAATAGCAAACATGTTGATCAGGTTCCCTGAATTCCCAGCTTCCTTTTCTTTTCTTTTCTTTAAGTGCCTCACTCCTTTCAATGCAGAGATGTGCCTTTGCCCTTATATCACCACAAGAAAAGGGGCTAGAGAGAAGTACTTTTTAAAAAGAAAGCTGGGAATTCAGGAAATCAGCTACATGTGCTGCTATAATGTCTTTCGCTAAAACCAGGGGGGTCATTTCCTGCAGGAGCGCACAGGAGTGGAGCTCCGGCAGTAAAGAGCCCAGGGGGTGGGCACATGCAACAAGCCCCACCCCCTGCTCCCAGCAGCCCTCAGTCACAGCAAGAAGCAGCCAGGTAAGTTGCAGAGCCCCCCCCCGGCCCCCCGGTCCAAAACAGTCCAGTGGCACCTTTAAGACCAAGTTTTATTCAGGTACAAGCTCTCCCTCCTCTGCGAGGACAGATCTGCACGTTCCCCCCCTCCCAATAGCTAGCAATCCAAAACAGTCCAGTGGCACCTTTAAGACCAAGTTTTATTCAGGTACAAGCTCTCCCTCCTCTGTGAGGACAGATCTGCACGTCCCCCCCCCCAATAGCTAGCAATCCAAAACAGTCCAGTGGCACCTTTAAGACCAAGTTTTATTCAGGTACAAGCTCTCCCTCCTCTGCGAGGACAGATCTGCACGTTCTCCCTCCCCCCAATAGCTAGCCATCCAAAACAGTCCAGTGGAGACTGAGTGGTGGGGGTCGCCTTCTGACCCAATGCCGGTGATGTCAGGGGGTGTGGCATATGCAAATAAGTTATGCTAATGAGTTGTGCTAATGAGCTCCTGCACCTCTTATTCTAGGCAATGACCCCTGGCTAAAACACAATTGCAATGGCAATAAACAAAAGGCCTCTCAGTGGCAGTGGGGAGGGGGAAACCGCAGTGGGGGAGACAAGGTGAGGGGAAATGGCTGCCAGCTGGGCAGGAAAACCTGAACTTTCTGACCCACGTGACAGACATCTGGGCTTTTCTGCAATCTTTCCCAAAACTTTGGCGCAAAGCAGGTTGGAGAAAGATTAGATAAAAGCTAGGGAAACCCCTGATGGTGGAGGAAGAGGAGGAGGAGGAGAAGAAACTGGATCTATACCCCGCCCTTCACTTGGAGTCTCAGAGCGGCTTACAATCTCCTTTCCCTTCCCCCTCCCCACAACAGACACCCTGGGAGGCAGGTGGGGCTGAGAGAGCTCTTTCGAGAACTGCTCCCGAGAGAACAGCTGTGAGAGAACTTGTGACTGAGCCAAGGTCACACCAGCAGCTGCACCCGGAGGAGTGGGGAATCAAACCCAGTTCTCCCAGAGTAGAGTCCGCGCTCCTAACCATGACACCAAACTGGACCAAAATGTTATGGTGAAGCCGGGGGGGAGAGGGGGAGAAGAGACCACATTCCAACAGCATCGAACATTCAAATCATACACAAAGACAGCCTTCACAGTTAAGGTTTCCACGCCAGAGGCTCCAGTCTCCATACCAGCCTCTCTGGGGAGGGAGTGCCAAAGCTTGACCGGGGGGGGGGGGAATCTCAATTCATCAGCCAAAGAAGAAAGCACCGGATTGGGGGAGGGGTAGTGGTCTGAAGGTGCTCCTCCTGTGACATTCATGATTGTGGGGATTTATTATTTGATTCCCCACGTGCTTAGCTTCACTGCAAAGCTAGCTCTGGCGGGGCTGGTTGCAGAAGGAGGAGGAGGAGGAGGAGGTGGAGATTGGATTTATACCCCGCCCTTCACTACCCAAGGGTGAAGACGAAGGGCTCGGCCAGCCGGACCACGTCCACATCCAGGCCGGCAACCAAGGCGGGGTCGATTAAATCCCGCCCGCACCCTAAATCGATGAGGCCCCGGACCCTAATGTGCATGCCCAAAGTGGGATGTATAAGAGTCACAGTCACGAAAAAGAGGGGTGGGTAGCTGCTCACCACTTTAGGCGCTTCCGTTGGTGGGTCCTGCTGCTCAGCGCCACTTACAGCAAGACCTGGCCTTTTCCCACCGGCTCTGTTTCCTTCCCCCTGCTTGACTCGTTCTCCAACACATCCACCTCGGCTTGCAGGGTGCGGGGACCTTTTGCTTTCGCCGTGCCCTTTTTGGGAAGCAAGTCGCTCCGGCGCTTGTCACTTTCTTACCCCGTCGCTCCTCTGCCCTCTCCCAAGGGACATTTAGCGGCGAAATGGCCTCGGTCCCCACATCTTAAGCACAGCCCCTGTTTCATCCGCTGCTCACTTTCTTTCCCCGTCGCTCCTCTGCCCTCTCCCAAGGGACATTTAGCGGGAAAATGGCCTCGGTCTCCACATCTTAGGCACAGCCCGTTTCATCCGCTGCTCCCTGACCGATGGCAACTGGGGGGCGGCTTTTGCCTTGGGGTGGGGTGGGGTGCCAGTGCTGTTCTCCCAGCAGCTACCGCGTTATCCAGCTACATAGTGCGCAAGCAGCTCTCGGCGCTCTCTGCCTCCTGCATCCACGCCGCCAAGGTTCGCGGGTCTCGGGTTCCCAAAACCGAGTTTCTAATCTCCGCATTCAGGCCCAACTGGTACTGCTGCACAAACACTGGGTCTGTCCAGTCCCAGATTTTGGCCGCTTGCCGGTGAAACTCGGTGGAATACTCCCGGACGGATAACTTGTCTTGTTTGAAAGTACGGAGGAATGCCTACGCCTTTTCACCCGCCATGCGATCTTCGAACCGGGCTCGCAGCGCCCACATAAAGGCATCAACGCTCTCCAACTCCATCGCCTCCAGGTTGTGGAGCCCCACATACCAGGTAGTCGCTGCACCCCGCAGGCGGGAAGCAATGAAATCCACTTGTGTTTCTTCGTTGGGGAACAAGTGAGCCCAGCGCTCGACAAACTTCATCCCCCGTACGATAAAGAAAGAAAGGTTCTCCGGGTCGCCATCAAACGTAACATCAAGCAAGTTGTTGGGTGTTACAAGTTAAAACACTTCAGTATTTACTGGGTTAATGATGTTTGTTAAGTCACATGTTTGTTTGTAACCAATCTGTTTAGATAATAGGATGCCCGAGAACTTTGGAGCTAGTTTGCTGCTCTGATTGGAAACCAAAGTGTCAAGTATTAGCATTTTAT